TTTATATGACCGGTTCTGACAAAAAAAAACGTGCTAAGAATATCAAGTTTCAAAGAACAAAAAAATCCCAAAATAGTATGTTAAATTTTTTTATAATAAAGTATATGCTATTACGATTTTTCATTTTATAAAGTCACGTGATAAAAAATTTTACTAAAAAAATCGAAAAATTGAGGCGGTCGAGTCACGAGAAACTAAAAAATTTTTTTGCCCGGCCTTATATAATTCTCAATATTTTATTTAATAAATATGTAAAATAAAAAAATCCAGGATTAAAAGGTATCATTTATCAATTATATTATATTGTTTTTGAAATAAAATCAGTTAACATTAAGGTAATTATGATATTAACTAATGTTCATTAACCAATAATCATTTTTATATTAATAAATTTGTAATATATAAAAGAATAAAATAGCATGATACTTAACATGTCAATGATTGGATGATATTCTAAAATCTTTAATTTTTTCATTAGAGCCAGTTACAGATGTTAAAAAGACTTCCTCATTAGAAGGTAATTATTCTCATTTTTGTTTGCTAAAAATTAAATTTTGTCAAATTCGAATATAGAATCAATTTCAATTGATGAAGATAAATACAACAATTTCTATAAATAATTAACCAATACTAAAATGAATTTGTTAATTATATTTTATAATATAGTACTATCCTTGAATAATGAAGGTAAATATAATAATAACCATAATATTATAATTTGTCATTTATATTTTTATTTATTAAAAATTTAATAAACTTAAATATAATACTAGTATTAAGTAATAAAGGTAAATACAATAACAAATATAATTAATCAACAAATAATAAAATATTAATTATGCTTCAAATATTAGAAAAATTAAATAATACAGAATATTTATAAATTTTCTAAATATTAAATTTTGCTATAAATTTATTAATTAATTTCAAAATTTCTTAAAATAAATACATTATATTAGAATCAATTTTAGATACTCCTACATTAAATGAATTAAATAGTAATAAACTTTATTTATCTATTATTTATTTATATAATTATTTAATAATTGATATTTTTTTAAAAAAAAAAATTAATGACTGTAATACTTAGATTGTAAACTATTTAAATTTTATTATATTTTCATTTATACATTTTAAATTTAATTAAACTATTATTCAAAAAATTATTTAATAATCAATAATACTATAGAAAAATAAATTATTTATTTTTTATATTTTAACTTAAATTTAATTTATTATATAAAATTTTTAATGATTATTAATGATATTTTAGTTATTAAATTATTTATATATAATATTATATAAATAAAACTTATATTAAAAATAAAATATTAATAATTTAGATAGTAGATTTTTTTTTATTTATTTATTACAATTTAAAAATATTAATATTCTTTATAATATTACAAAAAGTAAGATATTAATATTTGTATTAAAATTTAAAATTTACTAAGTTATTTATTTAAAAAATAATTAATAATTAATAATTTATATTATAAGTTATTTTATTAATTATCAATATTTAATTATACTTATTACTTGTAATTTAAAATCAACTAAATTTTTTATCTAAATTAATAAATTTTATTAAGGAGTAAGTTATTTTTATTGATTATCAGTATTTAATTATATTTATTATTATAATTTAAAGTCAATTAAATTTTTTATTTAAAAAATAATTAATAATTAATAATCAAATAGATAGTAAGTTATTTTTTTTGATTATCAGTAGGATAAAATTCCCAAATAATAAAATACTTAATTACTTTATGAAACCCTAGATGCGAAACAAGTGATCTTAAATTTGCATGTGAAGCTAAAATACATTTTTTTTTTTAGGTGAAAATTTTGAGAAATGATATACGAACTGCGCCCAAAGAAATTAAATTATTACTAAATAAATAAATTAACGATATAAACATGATATTTGTTTTCTTTTTTATAAAAAATCTTTGTCAATTAATCTTTAGGAAATAAAGTGTAAATCATTTCAAAGAATTATTCGATATATATTGTAATATGGCTTTTAATTCGATTGCCAGATGGAGCCTTTCAAGCCATTAAAACGATTTGCTCATACTGCAACACTTATTGATAAAAAAATTTATATCTTGGGTGGTCGACTCGCTGATGATACTGAAATAGTTGGAAAAGAATTTTTTATCTTGACGTTTCTTTTCCATTTAATGCTAAAATATCATATGGTATGATCTAAAAGATAATAATACTGTTCCAGCACATCGTGCTGCTACATCTGTCAGAGGTGGTCCAAATTATGATACTTTTTTTTTTATATGGGGAAATCAAGAATGGAATTGGTTTATGCGTTTGATACCAAGTAATTCATGGAGTGTTCCACAAATTGCCGAAAATGTAGATAACAACATCATCAAGAAAAAACAAAGTATAAAGGCCATTGCTGATGATTATGGGAAGATGTATTTGTTCGGTGGAAAACCTGAAAAAACAGATAGGAATTTTGCCGACATATATCTGAAAAAGAACTCAACAAGAATAATGAACAAAAAAACCAAAAGTGTAAAAAATTTTCAACGCTGCGAATCGAACCCGAAACTAAAACAAACTTACTTTATACGAAAAATCGCCGACCCAAAGTGAACGCGCCTTTATCTAAAGTACTAAGAAATAAAATAACAAATAATTATTTTCTTTTATTATTGACTAAACAGATTTAGGTTGGTATAATAATTTCGAAAAGGGCAAAAGTTGCTTCATACTTGCTTTGCAAATAATGCGAACGAGAGGATAATTCTTTTTATATTTTTGGTCCTTAAGTTCAGAGAGTATATTCACCGACCTGCGGATATACCACGTTAAAAATGGCCATTAATATGTTTTTATTTTTTATTAAAGAAAGGAAAAAGGAAATTATTAAAAAAAAAAAGCGTAGTATTAGAAAATGGTTGTATATCCAGTTGTTTATTACTTTGCTCAACATGAAAATACGTTGAATTTGAAATTCTAGATGAAAATATACTGTATATACAGTACATTGGAACAATACCTCAAAAAATTCAAAGCATTAAATAAATCCCAAAATTAGTGATAAACCCATGCGATTCATAGACCGATAAAATTTGTTCCATCTTCTCTATATAAAGTACGTAATTCAGGTTTCACCTTAACATCTGCTGATACAGAACCAAGGCATTCTGAATCTATATACCAATTTTCCCTTGTGAATGAATCCTAGCACTAGAACAAGCTAATTTCGTATAATACACTAGTGGGACAATAGAAACAGCACGTTTGCATCGCGCAAATGTATATAGCACAAGTTGTATGATAAGGTTTGAAGTGAATCGGGATCAAATCGGTTTTCATCATACAATACGTAATAATATGTTGGACGCAGAAGTTCCTTGCGTTGCAGTGCGACTCTGAAGATAAACGTCGAATTCGAAAGGATTTGTATTGTTGATTCAACAACCGTACCAACAAGAAAGTTTCCTATCCTATCTGAATCTCTCACGTCTGTAGATAATAAGCGAGTGTGAAGACCTCTCCGTACGACTACAAAGGTGGTTGATGGTTTATATGTATCTTCAAGTGCTGTACATGCATCTGTTATTAAGAAAATGGAAATAAAGGTGGGTATGTTATAAATTAAATTACATAATTTTTACTGCTTCGATATCAAAATCGAACACTTGATGAAATTGACCCTCTGAGACACCATTTCGATAAAACAAGTTACGTTCCAGGTTTCTTCCTCAAGTCTAGTAGAAGGTTTCAATAGCTCCCTTACCATACCTCCCAAGTAATAGATGATTTCTTGTCTATCTGCTCGAACTCGAAATGAAGAGCATATCGGTATGCTCTTGCATCAAATAAAAGTAACGATTCCTCCAGTTGCTTCTACTGTTAAAATTAAATAAAATTGTGATGTATTTTTTTTGTGAAGTTACGCGACGAACTCTTGTTCAACATGAAGGGTTTTCTCTGGTCAGATATTTTCACCTTTTTTTTTAAAAAAAAAAAAAATCTAATTTAATTTAAAACAAAAATGTAGGTTATAGTAGCAAGTTTTTATTTTAACTCAAATTTGACGAGACGCGAAAAATAGATCAAATGACTTGAATATATACCAATAAAATTCAAATCACATGACTAGATGCACAAACACGTGATTTATGATCGATCCCATAATTCGACATAATTCTCATTTTTCTATAAATTTAATTCAATTTCAATAGATGATCGGTATTATTTTTTTGTTATTTTTTTTGCGATTTTTTACTGTCTATGCTTATTATTGCGCACATGTTGATTGTGTAGTTTCATAAAGTCATGGGTGCACACTTGGCTTATGAGTCCAAAATAAGTGATGGTTTAATTTCGTTAACTAATAATTGATGGAATGGAATAATTCTTATCAATTGTTAGCGGGAGTCTTTTAATAATTGTTGGAATGGAATAATTCCTATCAGTTGTTGGAGTGTCTCCCTTTCTGATAATTGTTGGAATGGAATATGTCCTATCAATTGTTGGAGTCTAATTTTTTTTTAATTAATAGCGGGTTGGGTGTGATATATTAGTGGGAAGTAAAAAAACATAAAACAATTATCGTAACTATTAAGTTTCGATATTATTAGCTTTGCCAGAAAAAAATAAAAAAATGTTTTTATTTATTGTTAGTTTTTTTCACTGAGACTTGTATTAAAATATTCCGCTACTCAATAAGATTAAATGATAAATATTAGCCAATCAACGGAAAAAAGATCTTTTATTCATCGGAATAGTATTTGCAAAATCAGTCTCCGAAAAATTTCGTTTCCGATCAAATTGAGTTAGATGCTTGAGAACGTCGCAAGTCCAGTTTCGGTAACATGTTCTGGGCATTCTTCATAAAAGGTTATCATTTTTATCTATATAAAGCCTTCTTTATTCATCTTCCATCTAAAAAAAATTCTTGAGGCTGTAACAAATAGGATCGAAGCAAAGTAATGGTATTAGTTACTTTTTTATTTATTGGTTTACGTCATTTCATGCTGATATCAGTCTATTCTAAGGTAAAATTTTACAAATTCACGTTTGATATTTTATTACATTCTAGTGTAGAACTTTCTCAATACAATAAAATATTGACGCGTCGATCTCGATTAAGCTACCGAAAAAAAGATATAAATACAACAAATTCCTCTATTGAAATTTTTTTATCCACGCCTAAAATCCGCTCGTTTAAATTGGATTTTACATATTTATGTCCGGAGGTAGCTTAACTCGAATCTATCAATTAAGTCAAACTAAATCTTTAAAAGTGTGTTTTGGATCTTTTGTTTTTGAAGGAGGTTATTCTTTTCACAGTAAATTTGATGCGCATAAAAAATGTCAATTTATTTTATTATTGAATTCGATATTTCAAGGTATTGATTTTTTTTCATTACTAACTGGTAGTGCTCCAAAAAAAAAAAGCTTGATATAATAATTCAGATGATTCAAATGTATATACAATATGTAGTTAAATTTCTCATTTTCTCCATCTCACAACTTTCTTCCTTTTTGTAAGTTAAGAATTAATTTTTACAAAAAGATCACCTCACAGAATGATCACACTTTTAATTTATTTAATCATTTAAGTCAACTAGTCAAATAGTACAAGTGTATCAAACAAAATAATTTCATATTATATGATAAGTTATAATAGAAATTCACATTTCTAAATTTATTCATTTTTTTTTTTTTTTTTTTTTTTTTTTGTTTGTTTAAATGAAAAGAAAAAATAAAAACAAATTAAATTAATTGAATTGAATTTTGTATTTTCAACCTTCAAAATGATCTCTATTGTTCTATAATTCTATGGTTAATTATAAATAGTATCAAAAACTTTAATAACCTCTTTCATAACCTTGCCGCAAGCATAAGAAATAACGACAAAGCACGTGACAAAGTCCACGCATATTAAACTAATACCTCCCAACATAAATCTTGGTGCAAAAACTTTCCATACCATCAAATGCCTTCGAAACCATGCCGCAAATATTGCCGTACTAGTTGTTATTACGGAATTATATAAAATATAATATAATATGGTGGTTGTAAGTGAATAATAAATAGAATTTCCAAGCGTTGATGGTGATTTATTCCAAAATACCAATAAAGGTATTGCACATGTAAACAAAATTTGCGATGATAACGAGTTAAGTGTAACTAATATTGGCGTTATTGTAAAGTTCGCTTCATCAATTCCAATGAATCCCGCCGACCATTGAATCGATGGAATTGTAGCTTGATGTCCCGTAGAAAAGAAAAATAATGTTCCACACAATGAAAAGACAACTATGTCAAGAAATGTCGTATCTTGTGAATCAATTAAACCTCCACCTCTTTTTGCATCAATCATTTCTAATGAAATCATTATTTGACATAAGGCTATAGAAATCATTAATCCGCCCATGGGTTGTTGAGTGATAATCAATAACAAATAAATGATCGTCAAGAAAATAAAATATGAAGCTCCAAACGAATTGGCAAATCCTAAAATTTCAACTGCTCTCTGTGAAGGTCGTTGGCCAGGTTGATCGCTTCTTTTGGAATTTTTCTCGGGTAACTTTGTTGATTTACTCGATTTATCATCAATATTAATCATCTCCAAGTCTAAACATAGTGGATTCGTCCACCATGCAAGATGTCCAATTAAAGTAGCTATTCCGAAAGCCATTCTAACCAAAAAGTTCTTACCCCATTTGAAACTTTCATTAATTACCCAATCTGAAATGCTCATTGTGCCCTGGGAGGAGGGAGTTGGTGGGTTCATACTATCCGAGTTATCCATAACCCAATATGCTGCGGATAACATCAATCCAGCCCTTAATGCCCAATCAATCCAAAGTGGCGCGACCCCATTAAAACTTTTTGTAATCAATAAGGTTCTACGTATTATAAAAGGAATTATCACAGAAAAGGCGACTAAAGCTAGTAATATGACCGGTGATGATACTGAATTCTCCGAAGATTCGTAAAATGTCATGGTGCAATTAGGTAGTTGTTCTTCGCGACAAATGGTTGAATATGCGGCTATACGTATCAACATCAATGATACGAACGAACACATTATCAATCTTTGTCGAAATCGTTTATTTCGAATACTAAATGCCTTGATCAATGTATAAATTCCAAATGTTTGCAACAGCCAAACACTAATTCTATCTTCAAAAACTGTGTAACTATTGGATGCAAATGATAACGAGTGAAGGATAAGGAACAAAATTGCCAAAAATGTATCAAGTGAAAAATAAAGTTTGTTTAAGCTGAATGATTTAAGATATGAAAAATATAACTTAATGAATTGAGACGAAAACCCAAAGACAGATCCAAAAGAAGCGCTCAATATGATTAAATCCATAGTTGAAAAGGTATAATCTCCAAAAAATGGTTTTAGTAAAAGCCCCGTGACTCTCAGTCTCGTTAAAACTGCACCAATGCTCCCTCCAACTAAAGCATGCATGACGCTCGTCTGATTGCTAATATGAATTGCTTCGCGTTTTCCTAAAAATATATGCATTAACGTGCAGACACAACTTGCTATCAAAATACCAATTCCAGAAATCATCAAAATCAAATCAAATTGTGCCCATATTCGACGACATATAGACAAGGTAATTCTCAAAAAGCTCAGATATTGCACAATCAAATTTTCTAAATCATCCGATGATGCACCCGAAGATCCTTCTAATAAACCATATTGACCTTCCGCCTGCTCGAATAAATCTCTCAAAACATGAAGTGCTTCTTTTGATAACTCGGAAGATGGTTGTTGTCGTGAATATTCAACCACATACCGATAAACTTGTTCTGCATTAAGTCTCATCACATCCAATAAATTTTTCAATTTTTGCTCGATACTTGAATCGTGATCCCCATCTTTAGAGCTAACTAAAAACAATTCTGGAATAACACTACCTAAATTATTAAAAGGAATGGGTAATCCTAGTAATAATGAGAAAGTTGGTATAAAATCTATCTGAGGTATGCTTCTCCATTTTCCAAAATCCATTGTAAAAGATTTTCGACCGTGTGAATCAGCATCATCAGCCTTTTGTAAAATACGATGAATAATCGCGGTTGTACCCTCATCTGTCGTGAGTTGCTTTTTACTATACATAAACAGTGCGGACTCAACTTCATTATTACTATCACCACCGTGATCTCCCTTGGGGTCCATTCCATGATCGCCCATGACGAGAACGATCGTATCTTCATCAACAGATTCTACGACATCCCGAATCATCATGTTCATTTGATTCAATTTTTCTGACATTGCTGGATGATCAGGACCATAGCGATGACCACAATGATCAACTCCTAAAAAATGTGCAATCAAAACATCCCAATCTGATCCAGAAACGGATGAACGTTCCCTGTAACTTTCCCGTTTCAGAGTTGGAATTAATAAATTTAATATTCCGTTATCTACGGTGTGAAGGTCCCAAACGTTAAAAGATGGAAATGGATGTGTCATATTTTTTTCAAATTGATCCGGAAAAAGTGACACCCAAGTATCATCTCCCATAAAGGCAATCTTCTTTCCTTGTTTAAATAGCTGATCTATCAAATTATCTTCTTCTATAGATGACCCAGCAAAATTACTTCCTGCGTCAATGAAGGTGGGTAAAGTTCCAGTTGTTAGAGCCTTTAAACGTTGTAATGTGGTGGTCGGGGCATCAGCTATAAACTGAAATAATAAAGCATGAGAAGGTTGAGAATTTAAAAGTTCGTGAAAGATGGGAAGTTTGTCTAAATAATGGGGAAATGACTCATCAATAGTATCATTTGTGTGAGAAGCGGCAAAATCAAACCTAAGAGCATCGACTAAGATTACGACAGCTTTTTTGAACTGGGTAGGATACCAACAACTATCAAGAGTTGTTAATGGGACTTGTCCTTTCAAAAATGGCGTTTCGGAACATTTACTTTTATGATCTAAAACTAAACGGGTTAAAAGAAAACCTCGAGTAAAAAGAAATAAACCTCCAAGGTGTAAGGAAAACAGCCAGATAAAAAAGAAAACTAAATATTTGTGATTCTTGTATTGACTTCCTGACGGGGACTGAACCTTTTTACTTTTCAAAGCTCGTTGTTGTAATTGATCATTTCTAAACTCCATTTTATGCACATCATGCATCCTTTATGTATTTTTTATATATAACTAACATTTATAGTAATCCAAAGATTAATTATCGGAGAAAAAAAAAAGCTTTAGAGTTTGATCAACATCAAACCGATCAAATTTAATAAACATCCAGATTAGGGATGGAAATTTAACTTGGTAAAAAAGATTTTTTAAAAATTTTCTTTGCTTTGATTGGTTGATTCAAATTAACTTTCAAGAAGTAACCTTACTAAAAGGGTCATAACCTGTGATTGGGCTATTTTCTATATATGTCAGTCGCGTCGGAAAGTGAAATTACTATATAAAATTTTTTTTCTGGATCCTACAATTAAAATGGTTCTTGCATTTTAAGTTCCCTAAATTTAAATATTATTTTCACAAATATGAATAATTAGCTTTAAAATTATGAGAAATTTATAAACAATTATCAAATGAAATATAAATATATATGCAGCTCGAAATTGTCCATTTTTATTAAGTTTTTTTTTGATCTAAAACATAAAAAAAATCTTTAACAATTAAAATAGTTTATGCATTTTAAATTTTCCACAAGTTAACCTCTTTTAAAATAACGAGCTTTTAAAATTTATATTCTATTATTTATGATTTGTTATAAAATTTGAATCGGGCGTCGTACTTTAGATTTTTTTTTTATTATTATCGTTATACAAAATACAAATCTTGAGGTTAAAAAAAAATTAAACTTAATGATTTCTTTATCTTGAGAATTTTATGAAAATCACAAAATCACAAAATAAACGTTTTTAAAATGGCGTGATAAAATCATTTAGTAGTAATACATAAAAACCGTCATATAATTTGATAACCTTCTTCCAAACAGAAAAAATCACTTAGTTACAATAGATGCTGGATTTATGGTATGTTGAACGACTTTTTTTAAGTGAAAGTCTCTCATTTATAATCATCTTAAGTAAGATCTGCTTACGTAAGTTCCGTAATAAAATACCAGTAGATCATAGATGTCAATTAATTTTCCACCTATTTTCTTAAGTTATTTTTATCGTGTCAAATATCAACAACCAGCTAAAAAACCGTATTTGAAAATTGACGAAAAAATCTGTCAACCTTTTTGAACTTGACGAGACGGAAAGCTAATTCCATTGCCACAAGCAGTTATACGGAAGCCGTTGTTGCAGAAATCGCCGGTCAACTTGTAACTGGGACCTTTATACTCGTCAGGACGGTGTCGTTACTACCTCTCAAGGAAGGTTCAAATTCAAAACTACGGACGATAGAAACATTAGGGCGCCGGATGTCCGAAAGACACATATTGTAATTTGACTCAACAACTTTGGACCTTCCAGGGTGAACCTTTTACCCCTAGGTCGGGGATTTCGGAACCAATACAACCAATTCAATTTTTATGGATGTAGATAAAAGATTTTAAGAATGATATCTTTGCAAATGGCACGTCGGGTCAACTGGGTTGGTTAATCGATCCAAAAACAGGTGGATCCTTATATATAGAAGAGATAAGGATCGGATAAGTTTTCGTACGTGAAGGAATATTAGTGATGAAAATGTTTTGCCAGGCTTCACGTTGAACATTTCTAGGATCGATTTCGTTATTTCTCAGGTGAGTTATTATACCTTATTTCTATGCTATAATTTTTTATCATTTACATATTCATGGGTTGATTGATCACAGGAAAAATCTGCAGTAACAGAAAGGTCAAGCGTAAAGAAAACTTTGATAATCGGCATAAATTTATACAACACTACGAAGACCATGCACTCCTGGGATAGATTATAATATTATGGGTGATTCTGTTTGAAAAGAGCTACATATATAGCTCGTTAAATTTTTGGCGTAAAATGAAACATGAAAGTATGAAACTTTTAATTAAAAAAATCAGCCAAAAAAAAGGCAAAAAAATTAAAGAGCTTTGAATAATAAGTAATAGTTATTGGTTGGGGGTAAAATATCGGTCACCCCGAAGGGGTGACACGATATTTTATCCACCCTAACCAATAACTATTACTATCTTATAATATATTATTTTATCAAATAATTTTATTCTTTAATTGATTTATAAACGGATAGGATTTACTTAATATTGAGTTACTATTATAAACCTCGTTTTTAAAAAATCACGCGAATATATTTTTTCTATTTTATACTCGTAATCTAATTGATAATCATAATCTAATCGATTAAACGTCAATTTTTTAACCAATCATGTCGATTATCGAGTTCATTGAATTCAAGAACTTTTTTAAAATTAGTGTTACAAGAACAGTATTACAATACAAAATTTTTACCGGTCATTCTACGATAGATTATAAATTCGTAGATCAATTGGATTTGGTGAAACTACATTATACTTATTATACTTTCTTTATAAATGTATAAATGAGGGTTTGAATAACAAATACAAACCATTATTTTCCTTTTTGTCGAAAATGTCTTTGCTTAGAAGACCTTCAAGATTAACGAGCCTTTGGGAATTAGAGTCTTCCGATGAAGAGAGTACTTTTCAAGATGACCAACAAATGTCTAAGCATTCCTTCCCAAGGGAAGAATTTGAAAAAATGAAAGAAAAAACACGACAGGGTTGTCCTTGTGACGACTGCGAACGAGGTATGTTTATTATTATTATTTTTTTTTTTTTTTTTTTTTTTTTTTCCTCTTTTAATAATTTATATTTGTTCTGTATAAAATAAAATAGCGATTGACCCAGAAATTCGGCCAGACTTTACAGCTTTACTAAAAATATTTTCCTCGGATAAGTTATTGCGTCAAGCGGCTATTTTTGCTGGAACACGCAAAATTAACGAAAAAATTGTTGACCACTTTCACACCACATGGAAACATCCTATGCACATGGGAGTACCAAATGTAGAGTTTGTCTCATTTATGATGAGTGATAGGAAAGTTTGTCAAAGATTTGACGAATATATGTCAGAATTACTGTTGATATTAGACGATCCACATGTAAAACCTTTGTGGCATGGAACAACCATTAAATGCAAATTTGATGATAAACCTTGTGACCCAAGTTCAACAGATTGTTGCGCTGGGTGTAATATATTGAGTAAAGGATTTGACATTAGTAAGAGTGGGTCAGCAAATCCCTTTAAAAGGTAAGAATGAATTATGCCTAAAAAAAAAAAAAAAAAATATGAAAGGATTGTAATTTGACTAATAATTACTTCATTTTATCAAGGTTTGGATCGGGAATATATTTTGCACCAAATTCTTCAAAAGCACATAGTTATGCTACTCCCAGAGGAGGATCGGATGATCTCTTCACAATTTTATTTTGTTTCGTTGCCTTGGGAAGGTATAGAATTTTAACGTATGATTCTCAACTTTTTCATTTATTTACATATCTAATTCTTTTAAATGTTCTAAACGGAATGAAGATGCCACACGACGACTGATGATATGCCACATTTAACTGATGCGCCATATCCTTGCCATTCAGTTCATGGGCGTGTAGGAACTAGATTGAATTATGAGGAATTTGTGATTTATAGACCGGATGCAGTTGTACCATTTGCGGCCGTAACATACAGAATGGACAAATGGTGATAAGGGTTAATTTATTAACGTTGAAAGTGATTCTTGTTAATCACAGAGAAAAAATCACAATGTAATTTTAATATGTTGGAATTATATAATATAATCATCACAATGGGTGGTTGTTTCACGTGATTTCGGAAATTTCTCCGGTATCGTCGGAAAATTATGTTGAGTTACACATAACAATTAATAACATGCATGAAAAAAAAAAAAAATTTATTTAAATCTCTTCTCTCCTGTAATTTTATACACAAAGTTTAATGTGAATTACTTCAAAGTAAATAAAATAAAAAATATTTTTATTTTCATTTATATACCTTTTAAATATTTACATAACTTTATTCAGTTGTAAATTAAAAATGTCGCTTGTTGCTACTAGAGAACGACGTCCTAATGCCGGCAATAGGTAAACTTCTAAGAGAAGTTTTTTTTTGTTTTTTATATTTACGCACTAATATGAATAAATATAAATTTTATAGGATGAGGGAACTTCTTGAACGAGAATTGGAAATAGAAGAAATGTTCGAAGAAGTGGCAAATGATGAAGATTTTATGATGATTCAAGGTTTTTATCTTGTTGATCAAATCTATGAAAATCGAATTTAAAATTGCTAAAATCCTTAAAAATCATTTAGAAGAGGATGATACAATTGATTCTGACTTCGATCAAAGTACTGCAGGAGAAGATGAAGATGAAGAATCTGCGGAAAAACAAATATTAGCAGATGAAAAAATGGAGAAAAAGAAGGTAGATCTTGTCAATTTTCATTCGAGTATATATATATATATATATATATATTTTTAATTAAACATGTAATCTTTTTTCTTTTTAATAGAGAGCAAAGAAATCCAATTTAACGCCATTTGCTCCGTTTTTACGCGCAGGAGATAAAAAAAAATCTGTAGTAACATCAAAAGTTGTTCCTGGTCGAGAAATCAAAAGCGAATCAACTAAAGTAATATCCGAAAAGAAAAAGAAACAAGCCTTTCAAGGTATATTTTTGCAAATTTATATAAATTCATTCTTTACAACCATTTAATACGTGATATATTAATTTTATATAGTTCCTCTCTTATCCGGAACTCGTTCTTCATCCAGAACGCATACAGTTCAAAGTAAACAAATGTTGGCAGAAAAACTGAAAGAGTATGAAGCAAGAAAGGTTAAAGTGAACTTTTTAAATATCATAATTTCAGTGGTCAATACTTTGTTGGTTGACAAAATATCTGTTTAATTAGGCTTTAACTCCAAGAAAAGAAAAGATTCCTGAAAAGCCAAAAACTCAGGAAGAGTTACTTGCACAAGCAAAAATAACAGAGGAGAAAAATTTGGCATCATTGCGTGCTTATGAAGTAAAGGAGGCAGAAAAGAAAAAGACAGTAGGCAAACTGAATAAAATTAGAATTACTGGACCTTTTATCCGTCAGATTTCTTATGTATGTAGTGATGATAAAAGGAATAAGAAAAGGCCAAGATTAGTAACGGAGGTTTCAACTGATGAAGATGGGAACAAAGTTACGAGAGAGATACATAGTGAAATTGACGAAAATAATACAAATAATATGAGCGTTACAAATGATCAGGAAGAAAAGGAACAAGAAAGCAGGGAGGCAAGAAATTTAATTATATTTAAGGATTTTGATAAAAAACTTGAAGCTGAGTTATTTCAAGAGTGGAAGATAAATCCTAAAGGTATTTGATCGTTCCATCTTTTTTTTTTTTTTTTAAAAAAAAAAAAAAAAAGGTTGCACACATATATATAATATACAATATTTATATGATTTCTTAGAAATTGAAAAGGCAATATGTCCCATTACTGGTGAACCTGCAAAATATAGGGATCCAAAATCTGGTGTACCGTATGCAAATATGGATGCATATAAAAGGTTACAACAAGTACTTGGACATGAATATTTGTGGTCATCTGAAAAAGGAACTTTATTATAAAATCTAAGAATAAGAAGCGTAACGCCATTAAAGCGAAAAGGGGACCAAATAGAGTTACTTCGAGAATAAAAGTTATAAAAAATTGAAGAAATCAATGTATTTTATATAAGTTTCAATATCATTCACATATTCACATATTCACATACTTAAATAAACCTACAATACCGAAATACTACATATAATTTTGATGTTGTTTTGATATCACGTGAACAGGAATTGTGTAATTTTGTATGCGAATTTGGCATGTCTGCTTATTACATAAAAAAGAAAAAAATTTCGTCTCTAATAATTATTATAATTGAGGCAAGTTTCCCCGTTTCCTATTTGATATATATATGTATATAAATTACTTTCAATCATTTTTAGTTTTTACTTTATACTTTAAATAACAAGATTCTTATTAACCTTGCTGTAAATATGAATTTAAAATAAGTATAGTTCTGAGAAAACCTAAAAATTGCCAATTAGATCTTAGAAACAAACGCCAATTTAAATTCTTTAATTAGTATCGTATGTTGTTATTTATTCGTTTGAAATATGTCTATTACGAGTTCTTTCTATTATTTAATTGAAAAACGCGTTTATAACAGCTATTTTACTATAATTTTAGATTAGGAACACTCCACAAATTATGGTTGTATGTATTTAAATAATAATAAAAAGCTGTTTTTTTAATCGTGTTTTTCATTAAATAAAATGTTTCCTTATCGTTTTAATTTAATTCTTTTTCTTTGCAGTTGATTAAATTCACTGCGTTAAACGATTCAAACGTTCTACCAACCGAACAACCAGTAGATCCACACGATGCGCCGGTATATATTTAATTTGATTTTTTTTTTTTTTTTGATTCGTCGCTATAAAATTCGTTTGTAATGCTGACCGATAAATTTTTAGTTGCGACAATGCGAAACCTTATACAATTTGGCACTTCGGCGCGATCATACTAATGCAAAGGAATTATATGTGAAACTTCTAAAACACGATTTAATGAAAAATACAACGTTTCAAGTAAAACATAATTTCTTTAATTTTAATATTCCGTTTCCGATAATTAAAAAAAAAAATATCTATTTAATTTTTTTTATTGATTTCGTCGAGTAGGTTCCAAACAATGGTATACCATTATCACAACGTATTACTCGATTAAAATACTGTGTGTTAAAGAATTATGCAGAATTATTAGAACACGAGCATCAAATTCATAGAACTAAAATCGATGCACAAAATGCAATTGAATATTATCATAGGGTAAACAAAGATTTTTTTATTAAGCACGTTTTTATAATGATGTTATCTTCATTATTAATAGATATTTTGCAACTTTAGGCGTTAAGAATTGATCAATCTGACCATAGTATCTGGTTAAAGATCGGGAAACTTGCAATGTCAGAAGAGATTAATGATCCCCAATATGCTCGCTCAGCCTTAACAAAAGCATTAGAAGACTTCGATGTTGCACAATCGTTTTCAAATTTTGATGAAGAAATGCACGTACCTCCCGTATTCCTCTCACCGATCCATCAAGAAGCTTTAAGAGAATTATGCCGTGTAAGTATTATATATTTTTTTTTTTAGATGTTATTGAGAGAGCATAAAGTATTACTAATCTCAATCCGACTTTTCTAGCTTTTGTATGACATTGGTGATTTTTATGCTTGTCTGCGTGCAATTGATAAAGGCTTGAAAGCGGATCCTTACAATCAGACACTTAATCAACTCAGAATTCAACTTTTGGAGAATACATGGGTTAGATCATTATTACCAAAGTAAGGTTGACTTTAAGATTATAATTTATTCCATACGTTAATTTTAATTATACTTATTACGTTGAAATCTTTAAATGATTAGCGATTATTATGAAAACTCTCCACCCATAATAAGACCTTTATATTCGGAGGATATACCAAGACGTTTGAAACCATCCGGTGAATAACTTCACATATCAAAATGATTATGTCTAATGAACGTTCTCAATTAATATTATTTATAATTAAATAGGAGTGTTTAGTCCAAATGCAATGAAATCATTGCGATTTAATTTGCCAAATTGTACGTGGAATGGGCTAGGTGAATGTTTACTAATTGTATATGACAAAATCATGTCTGGGTGAATATAATTTAATTTCTTTAATTCTAGATGAATGATTTATTCAAAAGTCAGTCACTAAATTTATGAAACGTTTTTATCAAATAGTAAGATTGTCGATGACGATTCACTCATTCCAGTCAAAAGTCGACACATCATAATAGACCTTCAAGGCAATGTTGTCAAAACTCCGGATATGAATGACGCTAGTGGAACTGCTCAAAGGCGAAAAAGGAAGGAGCCTCCAAATGACTACAGTAATGATAAAACTACACAGACACGGTATATGATTGGAAAAAATATTAAGAATATTGTGGTTATTTAATAATCATTCATGTTTCCTAAATAGTTATTTTTTTTATAAAAAAAAAAAAAAATAGATCATCGCGTGTTACGTCTAAAATTACATCAAAAATAGACTCCTTTAATCAAAAACGGAATAATTCTTCATTGGAATTTCTTGAAAAAATCGAATCGATCATAGAAAAAGTAGAACCTGGTTATTTAATAAACATTAAGCAGGAAGATGATGCAGAAAACGATAAATTTCTTTTATATTTTAGTAAAGTTTGGAATCAACATGTTCTAAGCGAGTATCATGGATCAAATGTCGAAGAGGCCATAAACAATCCGAGGTACGTAAGTAATTTTAATTATTAATTTCAACATTTTGATGTAGTTTCTTATTTATTTATTTACTTAATTACAGGACAAACACTGCATCTGATCCTCGATTCTATATGTTTACCCCTCATACCGATCCACCGTCACCTAATTCTTATTTTCATGATAACTACCGAACGCAAGAATCATTTGCAACATTCGTTAATGACATAAATAATAAAAATTCTGGAATTACAGACTATTTATGCATGTACATTATACATTTGTTTGGAAAATTGGTGGAAACCGAAGATGGAATTAAGCCGTTGTGGCTTTGTCGATGGCCAGATGGATTGAAAGAAATCGTTAGAGAGATTCTACAAAGGGTAGACAATCAATTGTTGGCAATGATCGAAAATACTTGTACTGATTGGGACAGATCAGTCAATTGTGCCAATGTGATTATGGAGGAAAGCTGCGATAACATTTTTCAACAAATGAAGCAAAAATCCGAGGTATCTATTGTTTTCATATAATTAAATTAAATTATAAGTTTATTTGTAACTGATATGTTTCGGGTTGCTCATTCTTCAGGTCTTGATGGGCATATGCGAATTTTTATTTGATTCTCAAATATCAAGGAATGGTATTACAACTCCTGAAGATGCTCAAGATTCTCCAAGTCGTTGTCAGGAAATGCCTTCCGTAAGATTTCATACCTTTTGTTTTTATCAACATTCTTTATACTTAATTGACTTATTTTTTCCTTCTAGAATTTGCAAATTACTTTAGACATGTGTAGGTGGTTAATATATCGTTCATCATGGAACATAATGGATTTTGTGTCTTATGCTGAATCTCAAGGGCCACTATATGAAGAGGATGTTAGGAAATGGGAATACCATCATAAGATGTGGAAAATGTGGTCAAATCAATTGAACGCAAGGTATGCTGCTTCGCCTATCTTTCGAATAAAATCCCGTGAATGCATGCTCAATACTTATGATCAAAATAGATATTGGTGGTGTACTGCTCGTATGGACTTTTGGCAAGGAGATTTAGATAAAGCAAGGACTTCTTTTGATGAATGCAAGAGGATCCTCGAACTGGGCGAATGCGTGGATATTACGATAGCGAATTGGTAAAACTTTTAATTATTCATTATTAAGAACTTTTATTTATTTATTTTTAAACTTAAATTATTTTTATTTGATAGTGCTTTCGATGCTCATATTAATGTTGCAATAATAAATAATAAGGTCGGGTCATTGGAATCTCGTAAAGAATTGCCTGAAGATGATTGGTCACGTGCAATTACACATTTTTCTGATACGATCAAATTTTTGCTAAATTGGGTTTCTGATAATATTGATGAAGATAGGGTGGTTCAATTTTGGACCACGATTCATTCGGTTGGTAAAATATTTTGTTTTTCCTTTATATTTTTTTAAATCATAAAGTTAATTTCCTTTCATTTCAGATAAATGATGCTATATCGAAAATTGCTGAACTCATGTCGGAAGGACATTCAGTTGGTATGTAAATTCTCGAAGCAAAAATTATTTAACATTAACTAAATTAACTTGTTTGACAATTCTTTAAAAAATAATGATTAAAACAGCCAACCTTCCAGAAAATGAATATATGACATTCAAAAAACATTTCCGTATATTGTATAAAACGAGTTTTGAAATACTATTTCCAAAAACTGAAGAGATTGTAAATGCAGAAGCTGAATCAAGCGAACCTCTTCATATCTTGTGTGCTCGTACATGGATCTTATTTTACCATTTATTAAAAGAAAATTCTTCCGTTTCGAGTGAAGAATTCGTTGAATTTTTAGTCACCGTTCATGATCAACTAGGGGAGCGTTATATTTGCGGAACAGATAATGGTGCGTGTATATGTTATTTTGCTATATATAAATTTATTTCTTACGGTACTTTATTTATTTCTTTGATAAATTTTTAGGTGCATTTTTAAAATTTTGCATCAAAGCCTTTACCGAACTTCATCCATCAGAAAACCGTATACACGAATATCAATGCTGCCATTGTTTATATCGAGTCGTTCTCAGTGTATGTAATTCTATTTGGAGTTTAAACTATTTTACAATAACGTTGTTGACAATAGAATATTTGCATACTTATTAGGTTGATACCGAAGTTCCATGGGACCATAAAACCCAGCCTGTTGAACTCGATATCAAAACAGCGGAATTGCTTTTCAAGAACATTCGAAATTATATTAACGAAAAACCATTCCGGACATGGCAGATCAAGAATGATGTCAAGGACACTTTAGATAAGATAGCTAATATAGTGATTCCTCCGCGAAGTGACCGTAAGAATCTACTTCAATTATTTTCGTTTGGCCTTAACAAGATGATAGTTTTATAACATTTATGTGTTTTTTTTTAAAAAAAAAATAGGTTTCAATCAATGTAGCTGGAGGACACAACATTTCCTTGATAGTGAAATTAATTTTTATGAAGCCATTCAATATAAAGAACACGATCATTACGTTAGCGACCTTGGTGCAGTTTCCTATAGAGATGCCGGAGAGGGTGTGTACTTTACTTGTCTTTATTAAGTAATGAATTGTTTTTTAATGTATTTAGGACTTTTTTTTTTTTTTGACAATCAACCCAATAGCTATCACGGATCTTTATTATTTCCGTGGAAAAATTCTGCAGTATCAATTTAAGACCCGTACAAAGGGTAATCAAACAAAGGCAGTAGAAACATTGGAAAGGGCTATAGAACAATTCACTGTATGTCATCTTGTTTGGTAGTGTGTTTATAAACGATTACATTTTAATCGGGATCCATATATTTTTCGTAGTATGATCTTTCCAATAATCCACTAAGGTTCGCTTCGTGGTATGCATTGGGATCTTGTTATGCAAGTCTTGCTGATGAAAATTTAACATGGAGCGCCGAAGAGATAATAAATAATCGAGGAAGGATTGCAAAATATCAGAAGGTATTTTAGATCAAATTTATTAATTTTCTTCCATGTATTAACACATTTTCTATTATCCCTTAGAAATCATTTCTTTGTTATGCGAGAGCTGCGAAGGTGATTACCTGGTTTTCTGGACAGCAATCGCTAGCAGTACCAAGTGATGAAGTGAATTTTTGGCGAGATTTTGGTTATCAGGTTTATTCAATGATTACCGAACCTATGTCAATGGAAGCATTTCAATTAAATCCCTATCATGCTGTGTTATGGCGCAAACCAAGTTTCAAGGATGCTTACGCATTTTCTGCTTATTGCTTTGGGAAAGCAATGCAGAATGAGAGATATTTAATTGAGAATCAAAGTGATAATGGAAATGGAATGCCAATGATTCATGATTGGAGGTACTGTTTAGGCGTAAATTACTTTCTTATATTCATTTTCTTCGTCCAAAGTCTAATGATTTAACTTATAGAATACCTTATATGCTTGGCAAATGTTACCAAAAACTCGAAAAACCACCAGAGGTATCTTAAAATGCAACTTGATGCAACTATTATACAATTAAATATTAATACGTTATTAATTATTTTAGGTGGTTATTCAATTATATAAATTGGCTGTGGATCGAACTCCTGAAAAATCTGGTGTTTCCGGTCAAGAAAAAATACTCGATGCTGAGTATAAAATGACTTCGACGTTATCCAAATATTTAATAAAGGGTCAAATAAAGGTGAATAATTTCAACATTATAATACGATTGTTTATATCAACAATATTTTTAAAATCATGTTCTATGCTGACTTTTACTATTATTTAAAGCCATCTCTTATTGAGAAATATCTTGATATCGATATTGAGGGTGATGATGTTGCTGCTGTTACTGCCGTTACTGCCGCATATAAGGAATCACAAGAAGATCATCTAGAAAACTTTGATATAAATATACCTGAATACCGTCACGCGTATGATATTATCTGTTCTAAACTTGAAGATATACGCAAAGCTGATAAAAATAAATGGCATCATCGTCCGATATTTAGAGTAAGGTATCATTTTCAGATTATATTTTATAATATTCAATATTAACTTATTTCCTAATCGACTGTTGATAGCATGCACGCTTACTTTATCGTGTGGAAAATAAGCCGGAAATTGCCAAATCAATACTATCACCTTTGTTTCATTTAAAGTTGACATCTAAAACGTTTATGAATGTTTGGAAACCTGAATTCGAAAGGTAAAGTATATGTATAAAAATAAGAATTATTATTGTCATCATCATTATTTTAAATTTTGACTTCACAATATGATGTTTAAATAGATCAGGCAGACACTTTGTTTACGTACACAAATATATACTATTCTATATGAAACTGGCAAAGGTGACATTGGATGTTGATACGTTAAATAAAATTTCGGAAAAACTTCGAAAAGCTTCCAATATAGTTCTTAAGGACGAAATAATACAGACGAAATTGGCGAGCGCTTCTAAATATGTTGAAGAGATGATTAAGCAAACTGTTGATAAAGAAGTGAACATCCAAATTAATGAGGAGGAAAAGGGAATGGAAATGGAATTCGATGAAAGAGCTAATGATCAGCATGAGCAGCAGCAACACAAAGAACCAACAACTAATGTTATGTCTGTGGCATCCTTAATAACGCAGGATAGTGACCCTATGTTTTTCTAAGCAAATTACTTAATAAATTGAGACATTTATACTTTTACAAACCTTAATATTGGAATAAATATAATTTTCTGTTTTTTTTTTTAAAAAATTTTCGAAAATAATCATGATGATACTCGAAAGGATAAGAGGGTTGGTTAAGGTTGAATAAAATAAATTTTTATTTTATAAACATTTTCATTTTTTTTTCGAATAAAATTTTTTTTCAGTAAGTTTAATGATTTCACTTTTAAGTTTTATTTTAATAGATTCTAAAAAAAAATATTAAGTTATTATTAAAATCATGTATATATTATAAGATTTATTATAAAATAAAGTTTTATATTCTAATCAAAAAAAAAAAAATAATAATTACATATATAAAATAATAATTATTTACAAGTATTTATATAATATTTAATTCAAATATTTTGTAACCAAATATTTTAACTTTATTGATAAAGTTTAAAATTTAATTAAAATATAAAATATAAATATATATATTTTTTTTAAAAAAAAAAAATTTTAAATAAATGTTAATTTATTTAATTATAAAAAAATCTTTATTTATCTTTTTTAAAAATATATATCTAATTATAAAAAATATCAGAATATATATTACAAATCTTTATATATAATTATTAATACTTTAAGTTAAAATTAAAGATTAGTAAAATATTAGATATTTAATTTTTAAAAAGAAAAAATAAATGATATTTTTAATTATTATCAAATTTATAATATTATAAATACAATAACCCTTTCTATAATCATCCTATATATAATCATATTTAGCTTTATAAATATATTTACGTTGGTCTAATTTATTAATAAAAAATCTCTCTTTAGTCACAAAATATTTATTATAATAATATAAATTAATTGTATTATTATATATTAATTATAATATTACATTTATTTTAATTATAAATATTAAATCTTCAAATTTGAAATATATTTTCAATTTATAAATGTATAATATATCACTTTATAATCATATTATTTTTACTTTAAATTGAAATGGTTTTGATTTTTCATAATTTATAATTAATTTTTATGTTTAATTTTTATTATAAATTCTTAAATATAAAAAGAAAATAATTTTCTAGAAATGTATTTCTAATATCCAAATCTGAAATAATAAAAATGAATCAAATCATAAGAATTCAAGAGTAGTAAAAGAATTTATTTTTTTGAAATATAAATCTTTCAAAATTTAATTCTATAAAATTAACCCTTTAAAATTTTTTACAAGATTTCAAATACTGTTAATGACGGTTTTGATTGGTACGTATTAAGTAATACAATTAAAATATTAAATAAATAACTATATTATTTATCAAAGGAATGAAAAAAATTTTTAATTTTAAAACAGAAAAGAAAGAAAAATTATATTATTAAGAGAAAATGAAGGGTGAAAATAAATTATAAAGCAAGAAATTGATCTGGATTAGAATTTTCAAGTTTACGACTTGAAACGAATTTATCGCTGAACCAATTCTTCCATTCTCGCCATAAAGCATTATTAAAAAATATAGCAATTAAGTAAATGCCGGTCAAACTAGTTAACGTTTCAGCTGCAAACATTAAACCAAATCGAGGCATATATTTGCTCGCAAAATTATTTGCACAAAAGGTTTGTCCTTTGCCTGATTGAATACAAGGTAACCAGTCTTTTAAAAATTCTCTATTTGTTGCACCTCTAGATATGGTAGTTAATTCAAGGAAATAAAATAACCAATAGAATATTACTGTAGTTAATAATATAATGGCTAATAAAAGTGCCCTCCATTGAATCCTAATTGCTTGTAATACATGACGACGATGTGTCATCAATTCATCCGAATTTTTGACTTCTTCTTCTTGTGAAATCTAAAAAAAAAGAAGGTAATAATTTATAATTATAATATTAATTAGATAGTTACAAAGACCAAAAAATAAAATAAAATAAATAAATACCTTAAATATATGAACAAATGTGGCTATATGTAGAAAGAAACTCGGAATAACAAAAATGGCCATAGGATAAAAGAATATATTATTAGCCATATCAACTCTGATAAAACAAAGCGTAGCAAATTGATAACTAACTGAATGACTTGCTAGTGCTACTACGGTTAATATTAATGGAATTCCCCAGCATATAGCGTAAATATAATAGTATCTATTGCTCAATATATTTGAATTCCATACGGTATGGATGTGAAGGTTAAGAATTATAACTCCAACCCACAAAGTAGTTGCATGTGAAGCAAAAATAAGTAAAGCTCCTTGAAAGCCACATAAGAACGGCTTATTTGTTTGAGTGCTAGCAATCACTTCATTTTCGCATTGAACCGCTTTTGGGTTTCCAATTGAAAAAAACACATTGGAAGAATACAAGAAAATTGATAAAGAAGCAAAAAGGATCAATATACTAGGATGATTTCTTTTTCCTGGTAAAACTAGATATGAAATTAACATAACCGCTGATCCAACAGCTGAAATGGCTCTTAATATTTGTGTTATCAAGAAACCATCTTCCATCTTATCTTCTGGATATAAAGCGTAGGATTGTGGACAAGGAAGACAGCAACCATTTAGACAAAGGTTTTCAACTATAGTTTTGCTTTTATTAGATTCAACCCAAACATGATCCTCAATAAGAGGACTGAAACATTTTGGTCTAAAAGAAATCTGTGGAGAACTATTACATTCTTCTTTTGGATACTTGATATCTAATGGTGGCGATGTACCAATATTACCATTACAATCTTGAGGGAAGTACTTTGATGATTGAATGTACGTTTTAATAATATTTTGAATATCCGGTGATGCGCTATCAATATTATTTACACAGGGATCCAAAACTTTTGTACATGTGGACTGACAAGGAAGGTCCAAAACGGTATTGGCTTCATTCAATTTAAAGAGAATTATTAATTTGAATTGATTTTAAGTTATTTCATAAAGAGCATAGTTTACTCACAGTCAGTCACTTTACATTTTATAAATGCAGTAGCGCATACAAAACTTGTGAAAGCTTGTACACAACTGTCAAGGATGGTATCATCTTTGAGCGTTGATAAACCTTGGGCTATACTAAGATTTCCAAGGGAAAGTTCAATGCTTGAGACGTCCTGTCCATTTTCATGGGACACATAATCGATACGTGATATGTAATTCTTATGTTATGGAAATTAGTTAAAATAAAAAAACGTAAATAATCAAATCGAAAAAAAAAAAAAATGAGTAAAATCATTAATAAAATTATTATACTTACAACACATACACCGCCATCTTCAAAATAATGACTGCATTCTGTATAATAGTTATAAATTGGGTCTTGGGTTAAAGAAAATATTTTTTATTAAAAAAAAAAAAAAAAAAAAAATTTACCTTGTCCACGAACATCAACTATCGTACAAACCAATAACAAAACATATATGCAATGTCGTATTGTAAACCTCATATCGAAAATATAGAAATCGGGCAAAATTAATATAGTATTAGGGTTTTAAAAATAAATTATAAGGGAAAAATATATATATTTTTTTCTTTAGACCCAAAAAAATAAAAAAAAATAAAATTTTTTTTTTCGCACTTTTATCTATTTTAAAAAAATGTATAAGCTTACTACTTTTTTTTTCATTTTAATAATAATGGATTTTCATTTGAAATATGAACGCGTTTTGTTTTAATAAAAAAGCTTTTTTGTGAATTTCCGAAAAAAGAATCCATTTCAGGAAAGATTTTCGAAATTTCATAAAAAAAATGTCAGTTTAGTCAAGAATATAAATTTTTAGTTTGGAAGAAACCAGTTAATGGAACGTGGGATGTTCCACTTTTTTCATTATTAAAGCTTTATGAAATTTGCTGAGAAGACCAAAAAAAAAAAATAAAATAAAATAAAATAAAAAAAAAATAATAGAATCAGTTAAAATTGTGTGGAATTTTTTTTTTTTTTTTGATATTGGTAGAGGATGATGATTTTTTGTCACATCTTATGTTTGCGAAATTTTATATTTTGTGATTAATTCCTTTTTATTAACGTAAATGAAAAATCAACCAAGTTCGGAGCTTATTGTGTAGATCCAGTTTTGGAATTCAGATATTCAATTCACGAATATCGAAAATCATTTCAATTAAAAATTAAAGTAAATAAATATAGGAAATCGGTCATTAACGATAATTATCCTTTCCCCTTTGCTCATATACCTTCAAGTACTTGGGAGAGTTTGCGAATTTTCTCCTTTTTTTTTGGGATTGAGCGAAATGATTTCGATATTCGAATACTTTCAACGAAGTTCTTATTTTCAAACGGAGCGAATCCTTGTAATCCCCGATAGAATACGCCCATGCATTTTTTTTGATGTATTTCACGTGAATAAATGAAACCTATTTTTTAGCGAAACGTTATTTTTAAACTTTATTTTGCATTTATTGAAGATTTTTCAATTTTATGTACTTTATTTACTTTATTTAATTATTTAATATTATTTTTACCATTCGTGACTATTTCTATTATTTACGAGAAAAGGAAAAAAATAAATAAAAAAAACCAAAATATCATCATCGTATAAGGGAAATTAAAAAATATATATACAGTATGTATGTATATATAAAAACACAAACACAGAAGAATAATATTTTATTCAGTAAATGGGAAATTATGATGATCGTCTCACAAAATTGGAAATTGTAACATGTTTGGCTGAGAATTTTTTTTTGCAACATAAAAAGGGGGGATTGCATTTACATTATTATGCATCAAAAGTCGTCGGCTCGGTATGAATTTTATGAAATCCCTTTTTGTTGTAATAACGAAATTTGGTTTATGATTACAAAAAAAAATTGTTTTGTTGTACAAAAAAAAAAAGGGAAAATTATTATTTTTTTTTTTTTTTTCTTCGATAAAGAAGTGTTCATTCATAGGAAAAAAATTAAAAATTAAAAATTAAAATTATTTTTCAACAATTGGAGCTTTATATTCGTCATTTATGACAACGAAAAGGCCACTTTCCCCAGGATAATCGCAAGTACGTGGGATAAAGATTCCCTCGTAGTCACAGTTGAGATTGAAGTTGGTGTACTTCTTCTTAAAAGGTTTGCTTCCACCATCTTTGGTTGGTATTACTTTCAAAGTTGATGTGAGATCATGAACGACACCGCATTCATCAACGATCTTGAAAGTGCACGGCTTGTTATTTAAACCTTTTGTGAAAAGACCTGCGATCTTTACATCGCCACATTCGTCTTGAGCGAAAACTATATGACCTTTGATTTTTTCATCGAAAATTGCCTCCGCGGTAGCGCAAGGACAATCTATATCAAGTGTTCTTTTACCCAAAACATTTCTCTTTACTACACAAAAGCTTCGTTTATTAAGAAAGGTTGGTTCATTATCTGCTGAAACAACAGTGAGGAATAAGAGAGTATATGCTAGGAACGCCAAAGATATAAAACCTTTCATCTTGATGTTTGTAATTATTTGCTTTTTCTTTTTTTTTTTCGTTTATAAAAAAAATTAGATTAATTATTGGGGAAGGAAAAAAATAATTTCGAGTGAATACGTCTATTTATAAGAGAAATTTTACGCCCAAGGGAATGTTTTTTTATTGTTATTATGAGAATTACACAAGAGATTGGATTTATTAATAAACTTCTAAATTTATTCATGTGTGTAATTAAATTATAGTCAAAAAAAAAAATTGTGGTAAAAAAAAGTATTACGTACAACTATTTATAGTTACATTATGCGACTTTTTCATTGATTTGGACATATTTAGATCTTTTTGCCTATCGCCCAATCGTTAATATAAAAAGGTTTCGATGTTTTAATTATACATTCATTCATTATATGTACAAATCCTGTCATTCCCGGATTGAAACCAAATATTTTCAAACATAATGACAATGCTAATTGTTTACTTGCATTTCCAACTTGTTTTATTAATTTTTTTTTTTTTTTTAAAACAACAAAAAAAAAAAAGTATTTACCTACGAAAAAAGTGTTTTTTCGGAAGTGGCTTCCGACATTTGTTACTCAACACTCAAGACGAAACAAAAGTGTTTGACAAAAAGTTGTTACATAACAATTTGTTATAAATAGACGAACCCCTTCCGAGTGCCCAAAAGGATGTGTTTGGGATACTTTCACTTTATTTTATTGTTGTTACATCACGTTTTTTTTCTTATATAAATTTCCAAATTAATCGTAAATGTGGCGCAGTCATGCCGGGATAGCGTGAATATTGAGAAAGAGCCAACGAAAGATTCAGAGAAAAAAAAGATGTATCATTCTAAGTTCCATTTTCTGTCAAAAGAAAAGCACTTGAGAACCATTTAAAAGTTTTTGATTTTTGATAATACAATATCAGTTAAATCATGCGAAAAATAAACTTACGAAACAACGATTTTTAAGTTTCATAACAGACCGTTCGGAAAAATGAGTCAGTTCTGTGCTTTTGGAAAATACGAATAATCTTCTTAATGAGGTTGAGCGACAATGGAGGAGGTATTCTTTTAGCGCGAATTTTCACATACGCATTTGGCAAAATCATTATGAACCTAAAAAAGGGTGTATATCATATGAATAAAGAATATAAAATAAAAGATGAGAAATATCTAATGTATCTAAGTTCATTTATTGTATATCATACTTATTTTACTCGGATTTTTTTTTTTATATTCAACATAAACTTAATTTATATAAGCAGTGATGTGCATTTTATGTAATAAAAATTGCTTACTATCCAATATAATCAATAGTTTGTGGCTTATCGTGTCGTAAGGTTGTCTTAAGAGGAATACTTTTCTAAACATATTATTTAATTTAGGCGAAAAATGAAAATCTTCACATGTATTTCTTAAGTGACATGACTACATGACTTTCGTAACATTTGATGGCCGTTTCCGAATGACGTTTCGAATATTTTACGTGAACGAGTTAAAAATGAAAAGCAGAGAGTTTGTTATATTCGAATGCAGTCTCTACGAATAATTTTGGCTAGAATTATTACTCGATTTGTCGAATTTAAGAATAATCAATCATATCACGTGTCGTGTTCATTATAAATAATAAAAATAGAAATCAAAATTATTTCAAAAAAAGTAAAGACTTATTTATATCTACCTCTTACTTCTTTGATTCTAAGAAAAACTAAGAAAACGCGTTATTATAAAACTAATAATATAATATTTTAATTTTAGAAAAATTTTAAAATATAGATAAACCACAATCACCATTGAAAAAGTGCTTTTTTAGCAAAAGAATATTTTTTTTTTTTTTAATATATTATTATTTTTTTAGGTCAAATTATGTTCAAATTTAGCACTAACACTTTTTTTATTTTTTTCAGCCGTTTCCGCCTTTTCTATTGTCAAAGGTCCACATATAATATAATCTTTTTTACTTTTATAATACGAATTTACAAATAAATTTATTTACTCTAAATTTTCTTCTAATTATTTTTATAAAATAATAAAAAAAAAATTTTAATTTAATTTTATAAAAAAAATTTTGTATTTTATATAGATATTTTATTTTAAAAAATAAAATTAAAATTAAATATATAGATAAATAAAACAAACTTTCTTATAAAGTTACTCCCTTTTTAAATATAAAAATTATTTATAATGAATAACATAACATTAACATGTTATTAATTACAATATATAAATAAATAGTAAACTCGTAATTTTATTGCGTGTTGATTAGTTATTTCAGAATATTATATAATTCTTTACAACTTTTTATAATAATAGAAATTTGCCAAATGTTTTTGGACCTAAATCAAGTAAACTTTGACTGAATATATATAATTCTTATAAGAACCATTATAATTATGATAAAATGGCTTGATTGTGTTTTCAATAATTGAAGGTTTTATTGGAAAATTGAACTTTAAACAAAATGATCAATATGCCAAAAATAATTAATTTCGATGCAACACCTACAATCATAAAATTAGTATGGTCGTAACGACTTGCGTATTTATTCCAAGTACGTTATAATCAGATTTCTGGTAGCAGATATCCAATATTCATAAATCCGGTAGCGAATTTTATTTATCGTCCCGTCCTTAAGGTAGTTTGGCAAAAACCCTGAGATTTCGACAGGTGACAAGATCGAAAATAGCTTTGACGCCTTGCCAAATTTTTTTTTTTAATAGCAAAACCGCGAAAGTTTCGACGGGTGGTATAACCCATAAAATAAATTCCCTTTTGGGGTAGTCCTAGGTAGAATTTTCTTAAATTTATTCATAATTTCCAAACTTTTGTCTAGGTTCAAAAAAGATCTCCAAGTCCAACCGTTAAATTTTGCAATTAACTTGAATAGTGAATCCAAAATCATCGAAACTCGAAATTGTCGAAACTGAAAATTATTTGAAAAGTTTCGACTTTTGACAATTGGGATTAAGGTTTTTGCCCGAAACCTTAATCGTTCCATTTTTGACCAACCGAAGATAAAGTCAAAAATCACTAAGGAAGCAAAGTAAAGAAACGTTTACTCCAGCCGAAATTAAGATTTTTATGATTACATAGCTCTGACCAAATTTAGTTTTAAACCGGTTTAAATAATTATGCTGTGTTTTGATGATAAATAGCACGATTAATTCATTTTCTAGGATTTGGGTAAAGAAAAGAAGTAAATTTAAAAATCGAAAATATTGATATTTTAGGTAAATGTGAGTTGTTGGTTGATAGAGATTTATATAATTAGTTCAAAATTATTAAAATTTACAATTTTTGAATAACTAATTAAAATAAATACTTGGAAACAGGTAGAAGAAAATTAGTTTCAATTCGTCCACTAACTACCCACTCTCAAAGGTGATTTTGAATGATAAAGACATCAAAGAATTAAAGAATTATGACAAGAAAGAGATATAATAAACGGTAATCGCTAATGAGAGCGGGATAATATTTTTATAAGGGAGAAACATAATTTATTTCATAGCTTCCCTCTACAATATGACTAGAAACATCACGTGGCTTCAATTTGGAACGTCAATTTCAATTTTATTAAGAATTGAAATTTTCGTAGAAATTGACCATAATTACTGCGACACGAAAATCATTGTACTACGTACGTCAATTTTTCAACTAGTAACGTTACCCAAACGCCATATATAAATTGAAAAAAGGGAGTTCAACAATTTTTCACTTAAATTATGGAGTATTTGGAGGAATTATCGAGTGATTTTGGTAATTTAATAAATGACAAAGAAGAATCTAATGTGATAATACAAGTTGGGGAGGAACCAAATTTGAGAGAATTCAAAGCTCATACCTTGGTATTGAGAAGCAGATCTTCATATTTTCGTACCGCTTTGTCAAATAATTGGGCAAAAAAAGATGGTGATATGTATATTTTTAAGAAGCCAAATATTTCTTCTGAAATATTTGATATCATATTGAGGTAACATTATAAAATTTCTTTTTTTTATTCAATAAAAGAACGTTACATAATTGAATTCTTTTTTTTTTTAAAAAAAAAAAAAAGATTCATATATTGCGGAAAGATAACACTTAAGGACAAAGAAAGTTCCAAGGCTATTGCCTTATTAGTAGCATCAGATGAATTGGAACTTTTTAATTTATGTAAATACGTACAAACTTACTTGATTGAGCAAGAATCCGATTGGTTACTACAAAATCTCTTGACAATTCTCGAAGTACTTTCAAAACATCAAACTTTTACGATGTTAATTGAATATTTATTAGGAACCATATGCGGAAATCCTCAATTAATATTTGGAAGTCATGATAAATATTTGGCTCTGGATGAAAACATCATGATACAACTATTGAAAAGGGATGACTTGGAAATGGATGAAATTGATATCTGGACTTATCTTATTAAATGGGGAATATCTAAAACAAATTACCTCGTTGAAGATAATTTACCTAATTGGACAAGGCAAGATTTCAAGGCTTTGGAGAAAGTATTACATAATTCCATTCCTTTAGTGAGATATTTTCAAATATCTTCGGAGGAGTTATATGACAAAGTAAGAAGTCCGTTCAAGAAGATCTTACCAAAAGAATTAAATGAAGATATCATAAGGTATTTCATGAAACCTGGATCAAAACCAACATTTTCTCAAGGAATTCTTACGGCAAGGGTAACCATCATCGACTCGACCATAATTAAATCAACTCATGCGGCATTGATAAGTAGTTGGGTTGATAATAAGGATCATTATAATTGTAGGAAAATTCCTTACGATTTTTATTTATTGTTAAGAGCAAGTAGGGATGGTTTCGATTCTTCCACATTTCATTCTCGTTGTGATTATAGAATTGGTACCGTGGTTTTAATCAAGTTGAAAGGAAGTCAAGAAATTCTTGGAGGTTTTAATCCTTGTACTTGGCAACGATCTTATCTGGATGATCCTTGGACTCACCGTTCTTTATCCGATTATCAAACCACGTCGAGTAGCTTCATTTTTTCTTTTAATATGAAGGGAGGTTTAAGTGATTATAAATTAAGTAAAGTTCAATTTCCAAGCAATGCTATTTATTGTTCCACGTCAAATGGTCCTTGCTTTGGAAATGGTGATTTGTGGATGACAGGAAATTTTGGAAGTTCGAAACGAACAACTTATAAAGAGGTCATAACCGAGTCATTTAATTTTTTTGCGGATGATTATGAAGTTTTTCAATTGGTAAAAAAGTAAAATGTTTTTGCGCGCGAAAAAAAATAAGTTTTTTTTTTTATGTATTTATTTAAAAAAAAATCTTGAAATTCTGTTGGGTAGCGAGACTAAACGTCACCCAAAAGGAAAAAATTTTTTTATTGTTGATCGTTTTTTAAAAAAAAAAGAATCTCGTAAAGATCACAAACGTTGAAGAATTTCTAAAAATGTATCCCATTTCCATTTAGTTCCACACATCATGATAGTAAATTTTCTTTCACTCATACGTAAAGGAGGTTCTTGTATTCTGGTAAGACGTTTAACCTACTTTCTCTCCAAATGACTTGACATATTGGCCAAATTGAAGAATCCTTATTCTTTAAATATAATATTTCACTAAACTCTTTACATACTAATGCCAATGTGGCTAAATCTTTCGGTGCCAAATATTTACATATGTGTGGAAGTATTTCAATCGGTATCATAGAAAATAAATGATTATGAAATGTTTGAGTTGAACGAGTATGGTTAAATGTTGCGAGAATTGTTGAAGGATAAAAAAATGATGAGTTTATTGAATAAAATGTGATTAAATGTTTGTAGAATCGTTACCGACGATTTTTCAAGATAAATCTTTTTTATTTGAAACTTTTAATTTTCATAAATTTACAGTTTTAATATCAAAAGTTGCTAACCTTTTTTTTTTTTGTGGCTTTGAACGTGGCATAGAATAATCTATGCAAGATCATACATGTGTTTTTAATCTAAGCCAAGATGGGCCAAGAACCTTAACCCAGATCCATTGACGGGTAATTATAACCTGGACCCTGGGTTTAGGATGAAATATGATTGGTTTCAAAATGGGGCATAGTAAATCATACAATCCATGATTTCATATATTCGTCCAATTTTTATCATTGGAAAATCTTTTACGACTTTTAAATATTAAAAAATATTAATGTATTTTTTTGCACACTTAAAAATGAATTATGTTTCCACACCTTATGAACGGCAATTTCGCTGCTTACAGCACGAAAAACGCGTTTGTTGTAGTTATTTATAAAATATTCACAATATCTACACTTGAAACTTCGAACAAGGGTTTTCCGTTTGAAATTCAAGTAGTATTTGAAATGAATACTATTTTATAATTTTGAATATTTGAATTTTATTTATTTGCAAACAAATATTCGAATATTCTATATTCTACCTCGAACTGTAATAATTATATAATTTTAAATATTTGAATTTTATTATTTGCAAACAAATATTCGAATATTTACCTCGAACTTTATTTTTTGGATTTATTAAAATAACAAAATATAAAGGGATGATAAACAAATAAATTTGTGATGAACCAATCGAATTTGGATAATGATCTGAATGAACCCCCGCCCCGGTCTAGGTTAAGTTTATTCTAATTAATAAGTACGTTTCAATGTAACATTAAAAATATTTGTATCAATAGATTATCGAATGATAATTCTTATAATTCTTGTAATCGTGTAACATAATTGAAAAATATCGTACGACATTAATTTTGTTCCAGATCACATAAATAGAGTAAAATTTTCTTCTTTTTTCGTTTTTTTTTTTTTTTTTTTTACCTATTTAGGCTATAAAGTTTTTTTACTTTTTTTTAAAAAAAAAAAAATTTTATCTATAGTCAAATTCTGAAATATGTCTCCATTTACATCAGTTTCAGAAAGTATTCCTTTACCTAGCAAAGAAGATGATAATCCAGATCATCGAAATCCTTTATATCTCGGAGATTGGAAAAAGTCAATTCCATACGTTGATGAAGACATTGCGATAGATGATTTGGATGAACCACATTTGAAAAGAAAGATTTCAATTTTAAAAAAATATCCAGAAATCGAAAATTTATATGGATATGATAAATCAACCATTATAATAGTTGTATTGTCATCGGCAGTACAATTTATTGCGGCCTATGTTTTCGGTAGAATTTTGACGGACTGGAATATATTCATGTTAATATATTGTTTCTTTGTTGGAGCTTCTTTTACACAACTTTATGGTGTGATCATTCATGAAGCGACGCATTGTCTAGCTGCTCCGACACTTTTTCAAAACCGTATCATAGCACTTGTGGCAAATGCTGCGCTTCCTTTTCCAATCGCAATGTCATTTCGTCGTTATCATTTGGAACATCATACTTTTCAAGGTGTGTTAGGACTTGACCCTGATCTACCCTTGGAGTGGGAATCAAAATTGATTCGTGGAAATTCCTTTTTAAAATTCATTTGGGTAATGATTTTTCCCGTGTTGTACGTTATTAGAGGTGCGGTAATGGGGAAGGAACCTAGTAATTGGGAAATTGTGAATTGGATTTTTAACATTACAGTTAATTATCTGGTTTACAATTTTTGTGGTCTTAGAGGTTTATCATATCTATTATTATGTTTATGGTTGGGTTACAGTTTACATCCTGCCGCCGCTCATTTTATTCAAGAACATTATACTTTTGATGATGGTCAAGAGACTTATTCGTATTATGGAATTTTAAACCTGTTCTTTATGAATATCGGTTATCATAACGAACATCATGATTTTCAAAAGGTAGAATCTCTCTAAAAAAAAAAAAAAATAAAGTAATTGGCGATTATTATATAACCTTGTTTTATATTATTTTTTAGGTACCATGGTCAAAATTACCTCAAATTCGTAAAATCGCTCCAGAATTTTATGATAATTTGGCTTATCATACTTCTTGGTTTATGGTACACTGGAATTTTATCTTTCAAAAACAATATGGTCCTCAATCTCGTGTTGGTAGAACCGTTGAGGATCATAAAAAAGGAAGAAAGTTGATGAAAAATTTAAAAAATGAGGAATAATGACGACAGAATATCTGGAACAATACTAATTTGTTAATCATTCTAGATAATACTGGTTTTTTTTTTTTTTTTTGACGATAGTCACCACGATACAAGTACTAAATCCTGCTTTCTTATATGCGTATGGCAACATTAATTTTTATACTCGTATATATATATATCACCTGATCAGCACAAATTTCTAAATTATTTATGGATGAAAAATTTATTTAAGAAAAATACATTGCGTAGTATTTTCATTAATAATTTTTAGAATGTATTTTTATTTTAAAGATATGTTTTTCGTATTACAATCAAATAAATCTCAAAGTTTAATGCGGGATTGGAACAAACAAAAAAAACTTTTTTCCTCGGGCAAAAAAAATAACTCTCTCGTCCAAACAGCATATATGTATGTTGTAGGTTTTAAATAAATAAATAAAATAAAAAATAGAATCCTTGCGCAGCATTTAAAGTTTTCAATTGTTTTATCAAATTTGGTTAAAGCAAGCTTCGATATTTGGAAAGGTCTCGACACTTCAATTGGGTTATGCAATTTACAATTTATGAAATTTATCATTCAAAAAAAAAAAATAACGGACAGATTTAAGAAAACTTGTGGTGGTGTAGATTATTTATTGAAAAGAAAATTTTCTTATACAAAAACGAAATAAAATGGTCATTTCGTTTATTCATTCGTTCAAAGAACTATGATCAACTAATTAAGTTTTGAATTGATAATATCCTAAATTTAATAAATAAACGTTATTTAAACAATCAAATTATTAAAGGGAAAAATCAATGCATTAAATTACCTTTGAACTTTGATGTTGTGACCGAATCACAAACATTCATTTCAGAGGACTCTTTTTAAATCGTACATAACTATTCAGAATGAGCATTTTGTAGGTAGAGAAAAAATAAGTTTATGTTTTAATAAAATAAGCATTTATAATTATCTTGACACACAATGAAACAATAAATCTAATATATAATTAATTACCCTACACCAAGATATTTGATTTTGGTAACAATTGTGTTGTAGTTGAAAAGAATTGTCCAAACTCGAGAGCATTTTGAGTGACCTTTTATAATTGAATCTTTTGAGAATCAATATTCCAGTTTTACCCGTAATTATTTTACGAGACATTTACCCATGATTTCTTGAAAAAACTTTGGGGAAAAGATGCGAGATAAAAGGTTGGGATTCCTTAATATGGATAGATTGAGAAAGTATCATCAATTATTCTTTCTTTGGTTTTATTTAAGCATGTGAAAAAATCTTATGTTTTTGTTAGAGAATTAGGAAATAAAAAATTGGGCGTTCTTTAAAAAAAAAAAAAAAAAAAAAAAAAGCCTCAATCATGACAATCCACATGACTAATGGTTGGAAAGCTCGCCAAAAATTTATGAAACTAAAATTCGTCGAAAAAAAAAAAGGAACCCAACCAACGATCAACTCGAATAATAAAAAAATTAATATTCAAAAATTATCATTCAAAAATAATTTAATATTTATATTTTTTAAAAAAAAAGAGAATGATTCTTTTGTCGTAAAAACGGAAAATTTGTTTTGTTTCTATTTACGGTAATTTCATCTATCCTTTTTACAATTAAATGTGATTTTGAGAAAACCTGATAAGAAAATATTTCTTTTCTCATGTGAAAATGATTTACACATTCCAAGATAAATGCGCCAAATGAGGCGCAACTTATCATCGCATCGAAATTCTATGATTTTTTAATGATATGGGTTCCATTATATCGAGCAATAAAGAACATAAAATTTACAAATGTTACACATATCACGAATTGTAGTCACATGATATTTTTTGAAATTTTTATTGAAACTATAAGCATTACATTTTCCTTTTCAGATTTACAAAAAAGGATGGCAAGAATGTGATATCACTATTAATGTTTTATGAAGCTGAATAACTAAATGAACAAATTAATAGAAAATTTTCTAATAACATATAATTATCTTAACAATAAATTGTATTTTAATTTCTAATAGTAAAATTTTAGTTATAAATATAAAATATAAACTAAAGATATAAAGATCTTTACTAGTTAATAATTAAAATGTTTTTATTCATTAATATTAAATTTAGAATTTTACTAACCATAACCGGGGGTGATCATCCCCGATATCACGTGACCACATTACGTCACGTGATCATACTAAGTTACGTATTTCAA